TTAACCTTTTCCTTCTCGTTCACGTAAATCAACGGCTCGCTGGAAGTGAGCAACACGCGGTGAAGCGTGTTGACTGATTTAACAATAAGTGCGTGTATGCGAACAGGCAATTCCCATTACACTTGTCACAAATAGGCATTATAGTGCCGACTACTTCGATGGACTCATCTTTCGATAATGTGGACACCACAGGCGGTGGACGCTATCGGATCAACAGGGACAGGTATTCGTTCCTGATACACTCGCAACGGGAGCGTGTGGTGAAGTTGCGAGCTTTAATCGATATTCACGCGGTCTCCAATTGGATCAAAAAGTAGTGACTCAACAATTATTAGCAAAATTTGCTGCGTATGAGCAAGGATCATTGGAACTTTTACACCGACGCCGACTCCGTCACCTCCGACACAAGTGTTTATAACACCGACGGTATGGATGAAATGTCCCGTAAAAATCAAGATGAAAGCTTTCACGGAGAAGACGATAAAAGTCCTGCGTTCTGACAGCGAGAAATGGACATCGCTATCGCGATGGCTCAAATTCGTACTCACTGCAGTCAAGTGGCCTTCGCCATGTCGCATTAAAAATGAATGTCCACGTTTGGGCGACGACATGGAAACTCAACCATTTCGGCTACATTGCCACATGGCAAGAGTTGAAGAGGGCTATAGATTTGATGCTTCTTCCGCCGGATGTGGCATTTGGACAACGGTCAAAGTTTTTGTCATGCCGTCAAGAAAGTAGCAGAATGTACGACTATGTATAGAAGCTCCGTAAGCTTCGTGCCAATATGGCAATCGAACAACTATCAGAGGCGGTGATAGTCACTGTGACTATATAGGGACTCAGTTATGGTCCTCCTTAGACTGAAGTTTTCCGCCAGAGTTTGACGACTGTGGAAGATACAATTATGATTGCACTGCGTGAGAGCTGCTGCCAACGTCACGCACGTGGTCAATCAACCAACCCGATGGATGCAGAGACCGCTACTACTAGAAATTTAGTAGCAATGGATCTCAGCGCGGTGGCTTTCCCAATTGGGAGAGGAACCTTTCAATACAACTCTCGTCGTAGTGGCTCCGAGCCACGTGGTACCAATACCACAAAGCGTTCGAAAAACGCTGGTACCCAGTAGACGCTGGGCGGTGGGCACGGGCGGACATAAACTCTTGTGAGTGTGATGACAGAATCACTTAGGAGAGTTTAGCTCCTGAACGATCATTGTTCTTCGTTAACGACACGAGTCGAGGTGGTCTCATCGTGGTCACAGCGAATCTGAAGGGTTACAGTCATCCATTTGGAGTCTTGATCGACTTTGGCGAGACGCGTTACTACGCGCGAGAGCTATGTGCCCCGCAAAATGGTTCAGTGCTTTCGGATGCACCATATAGAAGCAATGGCTTATTTTAGTGAAGTTGGCCACTGGTGCGATGGCCACTGCGAGGAACATTATGGTTGATCTTCAACTGAAGTTTGACGACTTCAGTTCAAAGGACATCATCACATTCCTCGAGATGGACAAATGGTATGATCTGATTGTAGGTATATCGAGATGCATGACAGATGGTTTTTTTGGCTATCGAAAACGATGGGGGGTAGCTCACAGGAAGAAGCGTTCAAGCGCTCGGCAGTCATATGCTGTTGGAAATAATCCATACTTATATCATGCGATTGGCAATCCACAGGTCAGGGGAGATATGAAGTCGTATGGAGTGACGACTAGTGATCACACAGGAAGTGTGTCGACAGATCAAGTGGTACCCGGAACTGGTCATTTGAGAAGGATAAGTCGTTGGTGGGCATGGCAATTTGCCCAACGGAAAGAATTTATGAGGGAGAAATGGCGTTTGTTGCCACCGTCAAGACGGAAGAATGTTGTTGACATGTGTGTACTGGAATGTCGAAGGAAGCGACTGCTGCTGCATATACCACTACTCCCATTAATATATTGCTCAAGTTGGATTGTGGGTCAGTGGGTATAACTGACCACGGAGGTGATGCTCCCACCCGATGATGGGCTGAGCACGCACATGTGAAGGCATCAACAGAATTAGCTGATCGTGGACTGATACTCCCGCCCAAAATGCGGTTGAGTCTGCGGGTAAGTTAATTTAGCGTACTACTCCCCATGATGGAACTGTAGCATGGGAATATGCCTGTTCACATATAGTGGATGTAACGACTGGTTGTGAATTTGCCAGAACATATGTTCGTTTGGCATTGTTGCCGACGATGGAAGAGCTGATGCAGCTAGAAAAAGTCACTTACGATGCCTTTTTACACGACATCAAGTGTGATGGTACTGCAAAGGTCGTGTTGCTACAGTCGAAGGTCAATATAGCGGAATCACGCCCCCTGATCTTCCTCCCGAACGTGAAGTTCGACACGAAGTTGATCGTGAATCCTATTTGAAGCATGCAGTGCTTCGAAAGTGGCCACTGTCACGTGAGAAAATTGAGTATTTCAATACGTTATTTGTTTGAAAGCTAGTTGCTGATCTGGTGAGGAAACGCAAATCTTTTCACAGCGTGCCAACGTTTTGTGTGCGTAAACCAAATGGTAAATGGCGTATAGTTTACGCCTATAACTAGTTGAATGCGCAGATTATTCTCGCGCAAACGCCGATTCTGCGAAAGGATGGTATCATCCACCGTATGTCCGGCTGTACACAGTTAAGTGTACTTGAACTAGTCGATAGATATTACCAAATCTTGATGAGGGAGGGGGACGTCCCTTTGACGGCTATTAGTACACCGCTCAGTATGTTACGGGAGTGGTTTGTGATGCCACAAGGATAACCAATGCTCTGGCAACATTCAGTTCACATTCAATTGATTGGTCTTCAATCTGTTTCGACCACCGCGACTCTTCGCACAAACATAATTTGACGATATTTTAGTTCATTCGAAGGACGAAGTTGGCAGATATGCTGCACATCGTGTGGTGCTAGAATGTATGTGTGAACAATCATTGCATGCGAATTTCGCAAAGTGTAACTCTCACGATATCTGAAGCAAGTAAATAGGGCGTAGGCAAGCCATTCCAAGTAAAATTACGATGCAGTATTTGTTTGGGATTCAGTAAGAAACTAACTTCAAATTGTTGACAATGATATTCAGCAACTTGGCCAAGTGGAAGGAAGCGCACGACTCAAAATTGACTCGCTACAAAAGAACAACACATGTTCGCTGGTTTCATTGTCTACAAAAATTGATGCAGTCGGCTATTGGTGGATGTATCAGATCAAAGTAAACCAAGCTGGTGAGGTCAGCAATTAAAGGCGCGACAAATTTTATTTAAAATTGACTATGAATGAAAAATTGATTCCGTGGTCAATTTCAATTTAATTTGATTATTATCCAGTGTGGTAGCCATGTACAACCTGACTGCTTACCAAATGAAGCCAAGCCGACTTTTCTAAATGGGCAAATCGATCACGAAGCTTTCATGTACAATCAGCAAAATCATGGTTATTGAACAGGTTCAGCGGTAATTTTATCGACCAAAACAGTCGCACCGAGCGGAACATACTATCGACAAATCCATGATCGAGCTGGGTATCAAAAAGTGCGCCGATAACGTCAAGCGGGGTGATCAGAACATGATCGTTGTAGCACTTTACGTTGATAATTTTGTCTTCACAAGTACAACGCGAAGCTGCATAAGTTGACAGAACAAGCACTTAGCAAACGTTTCGACATGGCGGACAGATTAGGGTGATCTGAATTAGTTCTTTGGCGTCGAAACCTAGCCGAAAAAAATAAGGGGCGTTGTTACAACGCGTCAGACTAAGTTTGCAAATAATATTTTAAAGAGCTTCAATAAATGAAAAAGCAAACCAGTCAGGACTCCACTATATCATGACTTTAATTTGACAAATAAAATGTGAGAAAATCGGCTGCAGACACAGCGAGTCAATGACAAATGTGCCTTGCTGCAATGTAGCCGGCTGTTTGATGTTTTTTATGGGTAGAAGTTGGCTGGACCGCGCCAAGCATTTGAGCGTATCTTTTGCTACATTTAAGGAGCGACTATATGTGAAATAAATTTTTGCATCCGACTTCATGTCCCTTTTCGAATAGCATTGCGTGCCTCTTGATCGTATTCAACTTTCTCACGCACAAAGTGATACCGGTATCAACGTGCTCTTTTTGTAAAACTCAGGGTTCTTTGCTTGCGCATTTCATCGCTTTGAACATTTCATTCTCTATCTTTCCTAGCTCGCACAGAAATACCTCGAGCCAAACTTCTTCTTAAACAGCTTCTGCCAGTGCTATGTACTCCGTTTCCAAGGAATAACGTGCTATTGCTCACTGCTCCTTGCTTCTGTTAATGCGACGCCACGATCATGTCATGAGCGCATATACGATTGTACTTCTCCGGGCTTCTGTGTCATCTGCTCAATCTGCGTCTGAGTAGGTCGAAGCTTGCCTTTATCTTGCATTATGATGAGCAAGCCAATAACTGCCGAGCAGTTTGAGTACTTGCATGCTATTCTGGTTGGGCATACGAACAGCAAAGACAGTTGAGTCGAGAGGGGTATTGTCGACGAAGCTACTCGACCGGTTTCAAGTCGTCAGTAAGCCAATTCGCTTGGAAAGGTTACTAGTACAGTACTGGTATGGCAACTACTGTTCGTCTGGAGTGGTACTAGCTGATTGGTCAAGATGTCTCTGAGATACACCATGCGACCCGGTGGCGTGGGTCGAATGGTCAATGCTTCTGGAGCTTACGCTGTGTGGCGCGGGTTCGAGCCCCTCAGCGCACAAAATCGTAATCGTACCAGACATGCAAGAAATGTCGGCTGCATACTAAATATTACC